CCCGCCACTGCTTCAAATTGACACCCGAGGCGAAGCCGAAGGCGTTATGCCCGCAGCAGCACGAGAACTTTGTCTCTTGCCCGTAATATAATATTTTTAATTAAATTACCATGGGTTTACTAATAATAAAACAGATAAAAAAAAATAACTAATTTAAATTTTTTATTTTTAATATTCTCTTCTGTACAACCGACTAATTTATAGTTTCCAAATTCCAAGAAAAAAATACACTTTATAAAATCCTCTTCCTGTGTTTCACAGCGAATTTTTCCATCAAAAATGTATACTGCTAATGACTCTAGGAATTTAACTGCCGACGATATGAGGGCTGAGTACTTTTTACGCGGTGCATCAAATGATCTTGACGAAAACATTGACCAATAACGGACCGGCCGGGTTTGCTTTAACAGTCCGACTTCACCCCGAACGACCGGTACGTCATGAAAAAGTGATCAGCTTATTATGTCGAGAATATTATATTTATGTTTTCTTGAAAAATCGGACTTTATTAGAAAGCTTGATAAAACCTCAAGTGTTATCTTTTCTGCTCAAGTTTTATAGAGTTACTTGATATTTAATTATAAGGCATAAAAACTTAATTTTCTACATATTCCAAAAATGGACAATGGACTCACCTTCTCCTAACGGTTGTTTGGGTTCGTCGCTCTCTCCTTCTTCTGGATTGGTAACATTTACTACATCTTCTCCTTCCTGCATCAAAAAATTCAATATCAGAAACACGATAAACATGTTAGTGGAAAAATCACATCTAGAGTTGTAATCAGTCTCTGGTTTTCATCGGCGACTTTCTGAAGCTCCTCTGAGGCCTGCTGAATCATTTCTTCGACGTCTTTAAGTTCATCATCGCCCTGAAAGTAGACGAACATTATTTAAATGCTGGTTAATGAAAAGCCAACATTTCTCATCCACACTCGATGCCAAATAAAAGTTCACATTTTTCCAGCTCACGGACCAAGAATATTTTTTTGGGTTTACCTCTTCTGACCCATCATGTTCAGTATCTGTAAAATCTGCCGCTTCCAAGTCCTCATTGGCAAAGTCTTCTGCCATTTTGTATAATGATTGGAGAGTCTCTTCAACACCTAGAAGACTGTCCGAGCTGCTGGACTTTTTGCTCGGCGAAAGCTGATTATCTGTTTCAGCTAGTGGATCCGATAGTTGGTCGCTAACGAGATTTGTAATAGAAACTTCTGAAAGCGCACAGACCGTTCCAGGATCTGGTGATTGGGAAAGTTGTTCGAGATTGCTTTGTGATCC